AAAAAAAAAAAAAAAAAAAAAAAAAAAAAAAAAAAAAAAAAAAAAAAAAAAAAAAAAAAAAAAAAAAAAAAAAAAAAAAAAAAAAAAAAAAAAAAAAAAAAAAAAAAAAAAAAAAAAAAAAAAAAAAAAAAAAAAAAAAAAAAAAAAAAAAAAAAAAAAAAAAAAAAAAAAAAAAAAAAAAAAAAAAAAAAAAAAAAAAAAAAAAAAAAAAAAAAAAAAAAAAAAAAAAAAAAAAAAAAAAAAAAAAAAAAAAAAAAAAAAAAAAAAAAAAAAAAAAAAAAAAAAAAAAAAAAAAAAAAAAAAAAAAAAAAAAAAAAAAAAAAAAAAAAAAAAAAAAAAAAAAAAAAAAAAAAAAAAAAAAAAAAAAAAAAAAAAAAAAAAAAAAAAAAAAAAAAAAAAAAAAAAAAAAAAAAAAAAAAAAAAAAAAAAAAAAAAAAAAAAAAAAAAAAAAAAAAAAAAAAAAAAAAAAAAAAAAAAAAAAAAAAAAAAAAAAAAAAAAAAAAAAAAAAAAAAAAAAAAAAAAAAAAAAAAAAAAAAAAAAAAAAAAAAAAAAAAAAAAAAAAAAAAAAAAAAAAAAAAAAAAAAAAAAAAAAAAAAAAAAAAAAAAAAAAAAAAAAAAAAAAAAAAAAAAAAAAAAAAAAAAAAAAAAAAAAAAAAAAAAAAAAAAAAAAAAAAAAAAAAAAAAAAAAAAAAAAAAAAAAAAAAAAAAAAAAAAAAAAAAAAAAAAAAAAAAAAAAAAAAAAAAAAAAAAAAAAAAAAAAAAAAAAAAAAAAAAAAAAAAAAAAAAAAAAAAAAAAAAAAAAAAAAAAAAAAAAAAAAAAAAAAAAAAAAAAAAAAAAAAAAAAAAAAAAAAAAAAAAAAAAAAAAAAAGTCAACAGGTGTAGCAGTCCAACCGACTCGCGGACTGTCCGGACGGTAGCACTGTCATTTAGACGCCTATGCACTGATCGAAAATAAACATACATGCATACACTGTAATTTACTATGTGGAGAACACTCATTTTATCTGTAAAGTTGATTGCAACGAATTGTGCAACAAATAAACTTGCCAAGACAGACTATAAAAAATTAATTTTCTATGTAATATTCTTAATTGCAAAGAAGCCAAATCTGGCAATGTTGCTCAGAACTGACTAAAGCGCCACTTGTAATTGTCCAATGCGCCAAGTTTGGCGCATGCGCCACGGTTTGGCCACCCCTGTTCTATTTACCTGTATTCCACGATATATTCCAAATATTCTCTCAACCTATTAATTAGTGACTACTTCAAGAACAGAAAGGCAATTTTCCAATACAGTCAACATGAGGTACAGTACAAAAGCAAAAATTAAAGTATAAATTGTCAAAACATTTTAAATGCATTTTTGATGATAGCCTGAAATAAGGTCATTCACTCCATCTGCTCGTTTCATATGTGAAGTTTGCAACAACATACAGAGTGACTGGAATTAGATATTATGAAATAAGGTCAAAGTTATAATATCATATAACAAAAATTTGAATTCAATTTAATTTTCGTAACATGAGTTACACACATTAATTATATGGTCAGGACATATCCATTTTTTGCATTTATTACACCATCGTCTGCTTTCTCGATCTCTATTTCTAGATGGACAGATGTGACATCAACCCATACTGCCAGACGGTCTTGACTTGGGCCGTCTCGATGTGTGGTTTTTTTGAAGTTGCTTATTTGCTCTGTTTCTTAGATTAACTGTTAAACTGAATACTACTTCTATGTTGAATTTGGGGTTTGAATAGTTCCCAAGATAGATTTTCAAGAAATTTTCTTTGTTTGCATTTTTCATGAGAAGCAAATTTGTGAAATTTATAAATGCAATAGATGTTAATTGTCGCGATATTCAATAAATTAAAAAACATGACCATAGGCCATCCTTGTAATTCTGGCTTCGTTGTTTCTTTCACAATGTTGGTCTACAAGATCTACTCCTGTTTTTGTCATATTATAAAAAGTTATAATTACTGGTTTTTGTGTTTCTCCTGTGGTTTCATCTATCTTGTCATCAAAATGCATTGATGATATAAGGACAGCTTTATTTTTGTGGTCAATAAGACACCATTCTGCAATCAGATTCAAATCTGAATATTGACGAGTTTTTTGCTGGATTTCTGTTAGGTAAAAATTCTACTGGGACCTCCCACCTATTTTTTACACACAGTGGCTACATACGTGAGTATTTTAGCCTTAAGGGCTTTTACTAAAGAAAGACTAGTGAACCAGTTATCCCCAGTGATATTTCTGTTCGTTCCGTGTACAGGCATTATCAATCGCTCAACAATATCCTGAGCAGTAGTGCTTATACAGTAAGGCCCATCAGGCTCCAAACTTAAAGTGTAAGTGGTTTTGACATCGCAAACATTTTCAGCGTATATTTTGCTGGTTTTTTGGGAATGTACTGCTGAAATGAGCACTTGCCCCAGAAAGCTAGAAGCTGCTCATCTACCGTAAGGTATTCACTCAGTCTGAAGTATTTTCTAAAGTTAGATACAAACATTTTGAGTATTTCCCTAATAGCAGCCAATTTATCTATTTTTTTTCTCTCCTCTCTGTCATGAATGTTATCAAATCGTAGGGATCATAAGAGAAATTTGAATCTTTTTTCACTCATGCATAAGTAGCAAGAATCTAACCAACTCCCTTTGGAATTGTCCTACATCTTGTTTGCGTTTTTTGTGGAGCTTTGTATACTCCCTATGAGGTACAGTAATTTGATAAATGCTCTTATTTTTGTTGGATTTGTATCCCTAGCATCCTTTTCCCAGGGAAATGTTTTCCTTATGTTTGTAATATATGTATTAGTAAAAAGAATTGTGGATTGTTCAATGTTAATCTCAAAAAATAAATTATATCTAATTCTTTCTTATGGTTACGTGCCTCATTTTTGGTGCCAGGTAAATGTGTCACAATGTTCACTGACCAACCCGCTGACTGGGTGGATCTCCATCCTTACAGGGAGCACTTGGTCTCGCAACATCTCTGCAACCATTGCGAAAGTGCTAGGGAGGGTGCCCACCACCCACCGGGGCTCATCCTCGTATACCATCTTCTGGCAGCTCTCCCCAACCAGATTTTGTATCGAAATCATTTGGTGTCCTCTTTTGTACCTAGCGACAGGAGGAGGAAGTACAACATAGAATGGTTCTGACCCTTCTTCTTTAACTATCTGAGCCAGGAAACGACTGCATCCACAGGCCAAACAAGCCATCCAGGAACACTACCGGGCTGGTACCACCCTAACTAATGTACACATGTAATTTTTTTTAATACATGTGATTTTTTTACATACAATAATACATGTAATTTTTTTTTTTTTCGCATTAGTATCTTTTACGCCAGTAAACGTAAACTGTTTTCTTTCCCCCGTCCAGAATAATATTGCAGACGAATTCTGTTTATTAAAATAATTAGACTTTCAGTATAATAAATGCGTCAAAAATTTAAACAATTTTCACATCTACCGTAAGGGGTCCTGCACGTTATACGGATTCGGGTTCTGTCGGAGGGGTGCCGGCAGATGGCGGCGCGCCCGACTTCGACGACAAATACGTGTTTTTCTCCCGAATGCGACAAACACTTTTTTTAGTCTCCCGCACGTTTACGGCCATTACTCACGCCGTCGTTCGGACCGTTATTACGGTTAGTTAATTTATAGTTTAGTTAGTATTATTCGGGTCGAAGTTAGGGCCGTCGAATTTCACGGGGCCGCGCCGACGACGTCGCTCGCGCTTTTTTCACTCCCGAAGACGCACGTCGGCGCATTTCGTATTCTTACCTTCCGATCTTTTTACGTTCGTACTTGTGCGTTCTAAGCCGCTAAACATATTATTTGCCTAGCAATCTTATAAACGGTTTTTTGTTTTTATTTCTTTATATTTTTTTACAAATACGAAACGTGATATACACACACTTTCCGGATCTGTCGTTAGGGGGCGTCCGCATTTGTACTTACACGTCTGCTTAGCAATCTTATAAAAGGTTTTTTTATCTTTTCAATAATAACGAAAAATAACAAACACATATTTTCCGGATCTCCCGTTGGGGTGCGTCCCTGTTTTTACTTACACGGCGGCGGTCGCATTATTTAATAATTTTAAATTTGCATTTACACATTTCGGGCCGCCGAACTTACACGATTTTTTTTTAAACATTTGCCCGTTTATGCTATAACTGGTTCCTTTGTTTTTAAAGGGTTTTCTTTTTAATAATAACGAAAACGAAAAATAACAAACACATTGTCCGCATCAACCGTTGGGGGGCGTCCGCACATTCATTTACATATCGTTTCGTTCACGATATTTATTATTTATAAATTCGCATTTACACATTTTGGGCTGCCGAACTTACACGATTTTTTTTAAACATTTGCCCGTTTATGCTATAACAGGTTCTTTTGTTTTTAAAGGGTTTTCTTTTTAATAATAACGAAAACGATATATAACAAACACATTGTCCGCATCTACCGTTGGGGGGCGTCCGCACATTCATTTACATATCGGTTCGTTCACGATATTAAAATATTAACAACGGTTTAAAACGAACGATTATTTGTTTTCAAATACATTTCGAAATTTCTATTTAATCCAAGTTATAAATGACAAGACGTAAGCGAACGTTCTTGGAGAGTTCGATATCGAACTTTTATACATTTCGTCGTTTTCGGACTGTCGCGAGAGTCGATAAAGCTGTACCGCTGGAACAGTTGTTTGTAGCTTTCGCAACAATCAACTGGCCATCTAGTATAATAATCGAATTAATCGACAAAGTACTAAAAATATTCGGAATAGTTTTAAGAAGCAGCAGCAACAACAACAAATGAACTTTTCGCTATCGAAAATCTTTTTCGAAAAGTCACCGCTTTCTACATACATATTTGTAACGAACTGCAGTTACAATGTAAATTTTTTTCCTGCGGGATACTTCTGTAAATCATAAGGTCACTAAGGCCTTGTCACGATCCAAATACGACTCACCGTAAGGCAGAAATGTCAATCCAGTCGACATATTTCGTTGCAATATCTTTCCCACTCGCCAATAAACAAACGATGTTAGATACGTTATTGAAGTAGGGGACGTCGATTGTTTTAAAACAGCTATGTGTTTTTCGTTCGTTATTTCATTAAACGTCGAACGAAATGTCGAATTTTCCGGCTTCAGGTCCGAATGCAGCGGTCGCCTGTCCGCCGCCATTCCGACTAGTTCGTTCGTTGCGTTTCGACCGAAACACTCATTTAATCGTTACTTACGTTGGCGCGAGTCGAAACTAACACCTAACGAAAATAACGTTTTCGATGGATTAACAGGAACTGTCTGTTCCGAGAGACAAGCGGCAAATTACGCTACTTTCCATTTACACCGTTGGTTTTTCTACATGCAATTAAGCTACTAATCATTGCAATACAGAAAAAGAAATGACGCACTTTTAAACAATTGTAACGTTTAACTCGATTACATCGACGACGAACTAACATCGATACGGTATTATATAAAAGTCGTTCAATGTCGCGAGTTTCACGCGGCGAGCGCAACTTTCGAAGACACGATACAACTAATTACGAATGTTTCTTTAAATCTCGTTTTTAAAAAACAGTTACCGGCGGTAAAGCAAATCCGATTTAAATACATAGCTACGCTGTACGTTAACTTTTTTGTCCTGTTATTCGTTCGGTCGGGAGAACGAACAGTCATCGTCGCGACGCCGATCGGTTTTCGCGCGAACTACTACTGCGCACTGCGGAAAACAGACCCGTTCGAATTACTGCGAATTCGCCGAACCCCCGTAATCGGATAAACGTGCGTAATAAAAAGCTGTATTCGGACACAAGAGCTTGCTTAAATCAGTTTATTATCAGGGAAAACTTTTACATCGTTTTCGGCTGCCTCCCGCGGCCTCTTCCGGTGTATTACTCCTGAAAAGAACGAAACGGTTCGTGAATAATAAGTTCCGGCTCGAAACGAAACTCGTGCATTTCTACCGGTTTGTAGCGTTCTTGCTCGTACCTCTTGTTCGCCGGATTCTCACGAAATTCGTCGGATTCGTCCGACGACAAATTTACTACAACGGGCCCGGACGTACTCGGCAATTCATACTTCTTTCGGTAGTCGTCCACCTGTCGGAAAAAAATAACCGAATTAAGCACTGTTTGGATTGTGCCACCGAACTCGTACGCAACCTTTTGCGTCGTGTCGGCCCGCCCGTGTTCGTACTTACCGTGGCCCGGAGGGCCCTGTTCCTCTCCCTCTCTATCTGAAGTTCGGCACGTAGCACGGCTACGTATTCACTTTCGTAACCTCCGAGGCTCCGGATCATGGCCCTGCAGAGAAACGAAATTGTACATTGTTAGCGAACCGTTCGTCTAACGACAAAACAAATTCGACGACAACTTACGTGATCGGGTCGGCCGCCTCGTCTTCAGGCCATACGAGTTCCTGTATAGCTGGAAACCAGAAGAAGGTTAGGGTTACCGTGCGTCGGCCCGACGTCTGACGAACGACTAGCGCCGAAATTATACTTACCGCACTCGAAGGCCTCCATCACCCCGCTTCGACGCAGAATGTCGAATAGTTTGTCGACGGCCTCCGGCCGTGACAGCCTCCGGCCGTGACAATCTTTCCTGTAAGAGAACGAAAACAGTTTTTCAAAGTGTTGTGATTCTTACTCTGATACGTCCGAAAACGTTTGCAAATTAAAATGATCGTCTTCGCGACCGAAACGTCCACTAACCTTCACTCCTTCAGCTGAACTCATCGTTGCTAAACCTGTATCGTTGCTAAACCTTTCGCCGCTGATATTCATTCCCTCAAGAACGTTGTACCGTCGCTGCGATCCCGTCCTTTTATACCGAAGCCGGCGCGTCCGAACATGCGAATCTCACGACAGCGCCGCCTCGCGGCGCGCCGCGCCGATCGGCCGCCCGTCTGTCGGAACCCTGTTATCGCTCTGTCGCGTCGACAACCGCACGCACTCGTTCGTTATTCGGTCCCGTAACCCCGTATCCTCGCGACCCTCCGTCGGAAACCGTTACATCCGGCCGCCCTACCGTTTCCGGCTTTCCTGTCTGGGTCGCGTTGGCGCGTCGCCTTCGTCGCCCGCGCTTCTCCCTCCGGACGATGCCGCCTTTTCCCCCCGTCGCTTCCCTGCCCTCGAATCCCCCGGACCCGTGCCCGTCTGTCGACGTGTCCCTCCGCCCGTGCAGTTGCAGCCGCTCCCTCTCCGACGTCCGGNTTCGACTGCACAGAAAACATTGCAGATGCACGACGGGAACCGTTATCGGTTCCCATCGAAAAAGAACAACGTCGAGGAATTATGGGAAATCCGGCCAGCACTTTACGGCCGTCGTGTGGCGCGCGCGCGCGTGCTTGTACTTATTCCGTCATGGCGTCGGCCCAGGTATGTAGCAATTGCGCCGTTCCGGCCTATCCGCTTCGTTCGCTGCGAGTATCTTTGCAGAACCCGTTACGTTTTCGTTTACATTTCCGTCGTAACGAGTACAGCTAATCGGTCGGTGTCGCGTCGAACGGGACGAACGGCCGGAGTCTCGGTACTGGCGAGTCTACACACCGAGTCCGCTTTCCGAACGTTCGCTTTCTTCTGCGGCATTGCGGCGTCCTACGTTTGACGGCGAGTCGCTCCAGGATTATCGATTATCGCTAGATTCGTCTAACAGTAAGGTTCGGTTTAAAGTTTCTTCTTGCTTCCGAATCTGTCCGGACGTTCGGATTTGCGGCCCCCCGGTTACTTTCGTCTTCCGGACGCTTCATCCGGGTTATTTCCGTTGTAAGGTCTTCGTGTTATACATCGTTCGGTAGCGGTTTTTATTTTTTCCGTTTTATAGGCCGCCTGCGGAATTAAATTCCGTCGTGCCGTTTTCCGATAGTTTCGACCGGAACTATTGGATATTTTGGTCGCGGTGGGGGGCCGTCCGGCCACCGATCGGCTCGCCACTCGGGTATTTCCTTGTACGGTGTATTAGGATTACGCGGTTTAATTGTCGTCTCGCCGCAACTAATATTTATTAAGCTACCGCCGAATATTAAATTTCACTTTGAGAAAGGAGTCGAGTCGAAGGTCGTCGACCTTTCTGACCCGAAATCGGGCCGCTGTTTTGCCGCTCTCTCTGTAGGTATTCGCTCGGGCTTCCTCCGAACGACTTATCTCCTTCGTCTGGTATTAATTTCCTCCTTCGGTCGCGGCGGTCGTCCCGGCCTTCCGTTGTTAATCGTTTTTTGTTATCGGCCATTTCGTTTCTAGGTTTACATCGCGCTCTCGGATCCGAAGAAAGTGTGGAACCATCGTGTGAAATACCAGCCGAACTGTCACCCTAATCCCCGACCTCGGCTCGCATAGGATCACCACTACAGCTGTTCGTAATAGTCGAGTTGCACAAGGTGTTGGAGAAAGTCGGCGACGAAACCTGCAAACTCGCCGGCGACGTCGTGGTTGGTTGGTTGGTTAACTTTTATTGGCACAAAAGCCATACAGGCTATACTGCGCCACAACACATGGTGCAATTCGAAGTAGAAAATAAATAGGAAGACATATATACACATAAACAAGACATCACACTTTAACCATTAAACAGCCAATGGTAATATAAATATAAAATCTATAATATAATAAAAAAAAATAAGTAACAACAAGAATAAATAAATAAGCGGCAACAAAAATAAATAAACAAACAACAACAAAATATATGTACAATTATTTATATATGCAACTAAACGTAAATAAAACTGTACAAAAATTAATTCATCAGATTTCCCTATACATATTAATGACTTTTAGAAAGTCCAGTATATTATCCAGATTTGGCTTCTGGCCCAAAATGTCTCTAAAGCTTGCATTTCCGAAATGCTGTCTACGACTCTGATCAGAAGCAACACAGTTGCAAAATATGTGTTTAACACTTACAGCACAGTTGCAGTGCTGACATACTGGTTCGTCATCTCCCTTCAAAAGGTATTGATGAGTCAGTC